TGATCGAGGCCAAGGGTCCAATTATGTGGGGCACCAGGGCATCCCATTATTGATGGGCACACCTTTCATGAGTGAGCCCCATTGTCTGGGCGAGGACAGTTCGCAGGGTCACCCTGGCCATCGTTATCGAATTACTGATGGGAAACTGAGGCTGGAACGGGGGCGGCTGGCCCTGGCTTGGCAGATGGGCCAAGTCCCAAGGAGTTTGAGGGCCGACCTGTCGTCTGTCCCAAGCTTCTCATTTGTCAGACAGACTAACTGAAGCTCAGGGGATTAGAGCAGCGGTTCTCAACCTGTGGGTCGCGACCCCTTTGGCAGTCGAACGACCCTTTCACAGGGGTCGCCTAAGACCATCCTGCATAGCAGATATTTACATGACGATTCATAACAGTAGCAACATGACAGTTATGAAGTAGCAACGAACATAATTTTAGGGTTGGGTCACAACATGAGGAACTGTATTTAAAGGGCCAGAAGGTTGAGAACCACTGGATTAGAGGGACTTGCTCAAGTCCATACAGAAACCCAAACTCAGGTTGTTCCCTGAGGGGACCCAAATAAGGAACTGGGTGGTCATGACTGAATTCCAGACACTCCCTCCTTGAGTTCCTAGTGGTCATTTGACCCAGGGACTCCTGTCCCCTTCTGAGACAGTCCCTAGAAGTGTGGGGACCTCTAGCTCATCAAGGAGGGTCTCTACAAGGCTGCTGCTCAGCATGCTCCCCCGTGAAGGAATGGCATCACCAGGTGAGGTCATCGGCGTGGAGAGCTGCCCCCTCCCCCCCCCCCACTAGGCAGTGTGTATGTCATTTGGTGTTTTCCAAAGTGCGTTTCAGTCACCCTCTCAAAAACCTGAATTTTAGCCTTTGTCTTTGCTCTGCCCCCTTTGAGGGAACCCTGCTTCTCGTTATGGAGGGAGAAAAGCAAAGTGTGAGGATGGGGATCCTTAGAGGCATGACCTTGCCAATAATGTGATGGTGTCCAGAGATTCGCAGGTTGGCTCAGAGTCTCCAAATGCTTGTTGTGCAATGACCTTAAGCACTTTCCCTTCTGCCCACCCAGTCTACGTGGTGAGCTCCTATTCACGCTTCAAAGCCCAGCACCAATGCCTCCTCCTTCAGGAAGTCCTTCCTCCTCCCTGGCTTGCTTTCCCCATTCATGTCTCCCTGAGCTCTAGGGCCCTCTTTCTTTTTTGAAAGTATTACATATGTCTCTTATTTTCCCCTATTGACCCCCTCCAGCCTGTCCCCCCACCTCCACCCCCACCCCCAGCCCCAAGCCCTCACCGTCCCATTGTCTGTGGCCACAGAGCCCTCTTTCTACCTTGGCTGTGACCCCGGGGAGATAGAGGGGCCTGAAGGCCGGGTGCAGGGCTGATGGCTCCTAGGAACCCAGCATCTTGCAGCGTGGAGTGAGCAGCTGCAAGTGAGAGAGGAGGGTCAAGTCCTCTTCCTCCCATGGTCTCCCAACCCTTCCCGGTGTTTCCATCCCTACACCAGGCTCTTCTATCGCTACCAGGACCTGGCCCCCCAGCTCGTCCCCCTCGACTACACCAGCTGCCCTGACGTGAAGGTGCCGTACGAGCTCATCGGCACCATGCCTGAGCTGAAGGTATGCTTAGGCAACGGGGCGGGCAGGGGAAAATGGTAGCGATGTCCTTTGCTGCATTCCTACGAGGTGAGTGCTGCAATTATTCCCATTTTATGGATGAGAAAACCGAAGTTCAGACAGTTTAAGACACTTGTTCAGGGCCACACAGCCAGGACATGACATAGGTAGGATTCAAACCCTGGGTTGGTGGCAGGATGAGATAGGATAATGCAGGTAAAGGGCTTAGTACAAGGCCTGTTGGGTGGCAAGGACTCAGGGAACATTAGGTCTGGTCATGGTAGGAACCGCTACATGCAAGTTCGTCTCAGCTGGATATTCAACACATGGTTTGTGTCTCTAAAAGGGACTTGTGGAGTGAGTGACTGTGCATAGAGATTCTTGTGTCATCAGGGACAAAAACCTCATTCAAGAGGGACAGAATGGATTCGATCACATGAGCAAAAAATCCATCCATACAGCTGGAACCAGGGTCTCTGAGGATGGGCTCAGGAATCCTCTTCCACCTCTCAGCTCCCCCAGGGAGAGGCTTCAGTCTCAATCAGCCCTTCCTCTTGAGGTAGTGAAGGGAACGCCTAGTGCCCAGATTTCCTCCTGTCGGCTCTGCAACCAGCAGAAAGCAGGCCCTTTCATCCCAATTTTTCAAAAAACATCCCAGGGCAGCTTCTGGTTGGCCAGTTTAAGTCACATGCCTATCCCAGAGTCAATCACGGTTACCAGGTGAATGGAAATCTCTGATGGTCCTTACCAGGGTCATGTGGCTGCCTCTGTAGCTGGAAGTAGGGACAGCAGCACCCAGACCCCAGGGGCAGAGAGTGGAAGTGCCTGAAGTCCTTTCCAGGGACCATGAGAGAGAGGGAGTCTTGGGGGGTGGGGCACTTGGAGGTTCCCAAGAAGGTGGGTGCCGAGAGGGAGACCACCTGGAGCCTGAGAGGCTAATCAGTGTTGGCTTCCCCGCTTCCTGTTCCCAGGACAACCCGTTCCGCCTGAGGATTGCCCAGGTCTTCTCCGAGGATGGGGACGGCCACATGACCTTGAACAACTTCCTGGACATGTTTTCTGTGATGAGTGAAATGGCTCCCCGTGACCTCAAGGCCTACTATGCTTTCAAAATCTATGGTGTGTGCAGGGCCGGCGGTAAGGGCTGCGCGGTGGGGAGTGGAAACAAGACCTACCCCAGGGCCAGAGGCTGCCCTGCTGTCACAATGTCTCCCCAAGGGAAGGGTTTCAAAGCCCAACTTGGTCCTGTCTTCCACCCACCCCATACCTCCCGACCTCACCTCCTTGCTCACTCAATTCCAGCCACACCGGCCTCGCTCTTTCTCCAACAGACCAAGCTCTTTCTGCCTCCAGGCCTTTGCCTCTGCTCTCTCCTCTGTCTAGGACACCTTTCTCCTGGCTCCTTCTTATCTTGAAGTCTTGGTCAAAAGTAGCCCCCACCCCCCAGTGGTTCTTCAACCCCCATTTTATTTCTCCCCTAGCATGGGATAATGCTGCTTCATTTCTTGTTCATTGATCTGCTCATTTCTTGTTGACTTTCTCTCTGAGGAGACACAGGGCGGCAACAGTGCCTGTTTAGTTCACCGTCTGTTTCCTGGGCCTGGCACATAGTAGGCCTTACATAAATACTTGTTGAGTGAGTGAGTGAATGAAAAACAGTTATCATGGTGCCTGGTACCTAAGTGCTCAATAAATACTTGAATGGATGGATGAATGAATGAAAATTTACCACAGTGCCTGCCACAAAATAGGTGCTCAATAAATACTTGTTGAGTGATGAATGAATGAAAAAGGTATCATATTACCTGGCACATCGTACGTGCTCAACAAGTACTTGTTGAATGTACGAATGAATGAACTTGTCCCTGCCCAATTCAAAGCGAGACCCAGTTTATCTCTGAGGGTCTGGCCTCAGTTTCCCCCTCTGTAATATGGAGACAAGATATGCCCCTGCTGGCCTGGCCTGCCTGCCACCCGCTGTCTGCCTACCCCACGTCTCCATCCATTCTACTGTGCAGACTTCAACAACGATGACTACATCTGTATGTGGGACCTGGAGCAGACAGTGACCAAGCTGACGCGGGGCGAGCTGAGCGCTGAGGAGGTGAGCCTGGTGTGCGAGAAGGTGCTGGACGAGGCCGACGGGGACCACGATGGGCGGCTGTCCCTGGAAGACTTCCAAAACATGATCCTGCGGGCGCCCGACTTCCTCAGGTGACCCTTCTTGCCACCCATCACAGTCAATTTCCACGTGTGAGAAAGGATCTTATGAAACTAGTTCATAGACTCCATTGGTGAAAGTTCCTTCCTTCCTTCATTTGTGAGCTTGGGGAACTTCCCCAACCTCCCTGGCCTCAGTCCCTGCACCTTTAAGCCCGAGATAATGAGGAGCCTCAGGGCTCCTCCTGTGGGGGGTCACAGCTCTTTGGGTGAGTGGAACATGGATGGACGTCAGCCCTACTTGCCTGAACACCTTGCAGTGAACAGTCTGCAAACTGTATTTGGCAGCCCTGGGGAGAACCAGAGCCCCCACTGTAGGGTGGATCGCAAGGGTTGTATGAGTTAGTACAGGAGGTGGCTCACCACCTGTTTTTTGTATCTCCAATGAGCTAAGAATCAGGGGTTTTTTAAAAAATTTTTAAAAATATATTTTATTGATTTTTCACAGAGAGGAAGGGAGAGGGATAGAGAGTTAGAAACATCGATGAGAGAGAAACATCAATCAGCTGTCTCCTGCACACCCCCTACTGGGGATGAGCCCACAACCAAGGTACATGCCCTTGACCGGAATCGAACCTGAGACCCTTGAGTCCGCAGGCCGACGCTCCATCCACCGAGCCAAACTGGCCAGGACAAGAATCGTTTTTAAATTGCATTTTTTAAATGGTTGCATGTGGGGGTGGGGGGGCAAAGACCAATAATACTCCATGACGCACGAAAGTGACATGAAATTGACATTTCCAGGTCATTCAATAGTTTTGCTGGCACACAGCCATGCCCTTTTGTGTACAGATTGTCTATGGCTGCTTTCAATTTATAAGGCAGAGTTTAGTCATGGGCATTTCAACTATTTGGCCCTTTCCAGAAAAAAAGTTGGCTGGCCCCCAAGTTAGTCCGTGAAACAAATTTAAAGCAGTGCCTGGCACTCAGTAGGTGCGCAATACCTGTGCTGTGGTTGCTGGTGTGGCTGTTCTTATTGGCGGTGTCTTTACATGCACCGAGGGCCCCCTTTCTCTGCCCTGGATAAGCAAGGCTGGTCTCCTGGCAGATGGAGACACGAATAATGACACCTTCTGTGTGTCCTGCTCTCAGCCCTCAATGCAGCCCTACGAAGGGGAGACAGCTATCATCCCCACTTCACAGGGGAGTAAACTGAGGCCCAGACAGGGGCAGCCACTCACTCAGAGTCCTACAGCAAGTCTGAATGTGAACTGATTCAGAGATCTGCTCCCAACCCCGGGGGGAGGGGGTCAGGAGAGCCACAGCTGAGGGCTTCTGGAGGAGGAGGCCCGTCTTCCTGTGTGGCTACTGGCCGGCCTGGGGGGCTCCCAGCGGGAGTGTTGGGGGGAAGATGCAGGAGGGCGGCCCCCTGCCTGATGACACTGATTCTGGCCTCTCTGCACACAGCACCTTCCACATCCGCATCTGAGGACCACGGAGGAGGAGCCGGGCCAGAGGAGGGCAGGGTGACCCTCCTCCCACTGTAGAATCTGGACTCTGGGAATAAACACATCACTGAGTCACACCTTCCGAGCCTGGTGGATGGGAGGGAGGAGACCTGGGCGCTCACCTCTGCTCTTCCTGTGTGACCCTGGGTGTGGCTGCCCCCTCTCTGGGCTACCAACTCCCTGACCGAACAAGGAAGAGTCTGACTTCTAGATCTTTCCCCCACTGTGAAGGCTGGGGACGCGTGGCTGTGCGTTTGGTGAGCAGAGACGAGGTGTGCAGATGAGGCATGCTGTCCCGCCCCAGGGCCCCCCAAGGCCAAACCCTAGTCCCCTTTTTCCTCAATCCCTGAATGCTTCAAAGGGCCTGAAGGTTTAACTCCTTGTTTATTTATTTATTTAACATATTTTTATTGATTTCAGAGAGAGAGAGAAAGAGAGAGAGAGAGAGAGAGAGAGAGAGAGAGAGGGCCATCAATGATGAGAAAGAATCATTGATTGGCTGTCTCCTGCACACCCCACATTGGGGATTGAGCCCACAACCCGGGCATGTGTCCTGACTGGGAATTGAACCATGGCCTCGTGGTTCATAGATCGATGCTCAACCACTGAGCCACACTGGCCGGGCAACTCCTTGCTTATTTATTCAAGCTGCCAGGGGAGGCCTCTGCGGGGTGCCAGGAGGGCCACTCACTGAGATGGGCACAGTCCTCTCAAGTTTATGAAGCACCCGCCCCTCTGCCATCTCATTGGGTCCCAGCAGGGCTGGCCGAGAACCAGCCCCTTCATTCAGAGGGAACAGAATGGCTTGCTCAAGACCACACCTCAAGTCATCGACAGAGGAGGGCTTGACCCCTGGCCCAGCTCACTCCACATCCCAGACCTCTACACTCTGTGGATTTGGGGACCCCCACACCCACTCTACCAGCGGCCACCCCAGGGGTCCCATCAGTGGCCCCAGTCAGTCCAAACAGTGGTCATTCTGAGTGGGGCAACCGAGAGCAGCCCTAGGAACCTTCCAGACTCCCCCACTGTGTAGCATTTCTAGGGAGCCCACTCCCACCCTAAACTCCTCCTGTGCACCAAAAGCACCTACTATGCACCAAAGCCCTAGGATTTACATACATCCTACTGCTTCGTCCTGAACAAGAGGACAGTCCTACTCTTCTCCCCATTTTCCAGATGAGGAAATAGGCCCAGAGAGACCTAGTGACTCGCCAAAGGCCACACAGCCGTGCAACCCAGGATTCCCCCTGCGGAGTCCACCGCAACCACAGTCCCGGGCTGCCTCTCCCTTTTTAAAGCAAAGGACACGTTTGCTTCTCCTAAAGCTGGCGGTGTGCACCAAGCCCTCCACAAGTCTCAGCTCTTTCATTTGCATGAGAACCTGGCGGGGAGGGAGAGGGTTGGGCGGGGAGGCCGTGTCCAGAAGGGAGAGCTGAGCCTGGGTGCAGGGGTTGTGGGCAAAAGGACTCCAAATGACATGCCTTCCAACCCTGGCACTCACACCAGTAGACTGTGACCAGTAGACGTTGACCATGCCTCTCCTCCTCTCGGAACCTGGCTCTTCTTTGAAATGTGCAGGAGGTGCCTACCTGATGGGCCTGCTCAGAGGCAGGAGTAAAAGGAAAGAACGGACACGGAGAGTCTCAGTGTGGGACTGGCACACAGTAGGTGCCCCAGATCCTTGCTGTAACTTATTCACTGATTCTTCTTCTTCTTCACATAACCAGGCCACCCTGGCAATTGCAGAGCCAGACCTAAGTATCGTCTCTATTACATTCCTCAGGCCCCAGAGGGCTGGTGGGTGGAAGGCAAGGGGTCCGGGTGTGAGCAGCCCCTGGCACCCAGGGTCCCAGAGCCAGGGCGGACCTCTTCTCTAGCAGTACCCAGGGGCAAAGGGTGGCGGTGGGCGGTACTCCTCGGGGACACAGTCCTCCTGGGGTTCTGCCAAGCCCTTGGGCTCTGATTTGGACACCTGTGAGGACAGGGCCCTCGCTATTGCTTGGTGCCAACCCCTGGTCCTCGGGGTCACCTCGCTCCAGCTGACTGACCTCGAGGCCTTCTTGGAGGAGTCCCCTCTGTCTTTCCGAGCCCGAGGCTGTGAGGGGCTTGAGGGTGCCGTGGCCACAAAGGGCTCCGCGTAGACGTTCTCGGGGACCGCATCATCCGCTGCTGTCGCTGGGCCGCGAGTCACCTCCGATCGCTCTGGGTCCCGGAGCGATGACAAGCTCACGGTTGCCAGGTGGGATTTCAGCTGCTGATGGACCTTCTTGCCCGTCTGCGGGAGGGTCTTGAGGTTCCTCCAGAGTTTCTGGCAGGCCTCCTCCAGCGGGGCTTTCGGGGGGCAGGAGGAAGCAGCTGCCTCCGCGGGCGCTCTGTCCACCGCTGCGGACAGCATCCTTTCCTTCTGCCAGTGGAGCGCGACTGGCTTTGCAGAGGCCTGAAACCGAGGGCCGGTGAGACCTGGGCCAGCACCCCTCCTCCCCCCAGCACTCTGACTGCCCCGGACGCTGGGACCTGGGCTGCACCCAGACGCCCCAGGGCCGAGAAACGTCCCCATGTGAACCCCCAAACCTAACCTCGGGCCCCATCCTTTCCATTTTTGTCACCGGCTTCACGCCCTCCCCAGGAGTCGGCAAACCTCTTCTGTGAAGGGCCCGGGAGCAAACAGCTTCCGCTTTGCAGGCCCTCCAGTCTGTCTCACTGCTCAGCTCTGCTGTTGTCCAGCGAGTGGGCCCGGGTTCCAATAAAACTTTATGGACACGGAAGTCTGACTTTCCTCTGATTTTCACGAGCCGTGAACTATTAACTGTCTCAACCATTTAAGCACATAACTGTCCTCCCATCGCAGCTTCTGAGGGCCGGGGCCTGGAAGGCCACACACAGCAGGCAGGTGGCGCTCAGGGAGTGTGCTGACCCCTGGGCTCCCCCGTTCAGGACAAGTGCCTGGCACGTGTGGCAGAGGCTGTTGGTGGTCCACCCATATCCTCTTTTTATTTTTTAATATGTTTTTTATTGATTTCAGAGAGGAAGAGAGAAGGAGAGAGAGAGAGAGAAGGAGAGAGAGAAACATCAATGATGACAGAGAATCATTGATCACCTGCCTCCTGCACGCCCCACACTGGGAATCCAGTGCGCAACCCAGGCATGTGCCCCTGACTGGGAATCCAACCGTAACCTCCTGGTTCATAGGTCGATGCTCAACCACTGAGCCACGCCAGCCAGGCCATATCCTTTTTGTTTGTTTGTTTGTTTGTTTTGTTTTTGTTAATGCTCACCTAAGGATATTTTTCATTGATTTTTTTAGAGAGAGTGGAAGGAAGAGGGAGAAACAAAGAGAGAGAGAACCATTGATGTGAGAGAGGCACATCGATTGGTTGCCTTCCGTACATGCCCTGACCAGGGCCGGGGATGGAGCCTGCAACCAAGGCACGTGCCCTTGATTGGAATTGAACCTGGGACCCTTCAGTCCGTAGGCCGATGTCCTAGTCACTGAGCCAAACTGGCCAGGCCCACTCATATCCTCTTTGCTCCCAGCTCCACTCCCAAATGCCAACGGCAGGGACTCTGCCTGGGGCCTTCTCTGGCCACCAGTGCCCACTGCGTCCACATGGCAGACCAGAAGTGCCCGAGAATCAAATCTCCCAGGAATAGTATTTGACCAATGACTGAGGGAATTTGGAGGATAAATACCCCAGCTCCCTCGCCCCTAAGTGGTGATAATGGAGGGGGTGGGCAGACAGAAAACATGAAAACCCGTAAGTAAACAAGACTTCAAATTTCGAGGAGTGCTCTGTTGCAAATAAATAGGGTGATGGGTTGGAGAAGGTGGTGGGGGGAGTACTTTTGGTCTGGAGATGGGAGGAAGACACTTGAAGAACTGATGGGAGAAGCCAGGCCTGGGAAATGTGGGGCAGAGCATACAGCACAGCACGTGCAAAGGCCCTGAGGTTGCTTGAAGCTGGGCTGGTGATGGGCAGAAGGAGGAACTGAGATTGCAGGCAGGATTCTAACCTTGGTGCCTCGGGAAATCACTGGAAGGTTTTAAGCTCGGAGCTACAGGATCTTACCTTCATTCTAAAAGCCTCTGGCAGCTGTTGGCCACCTCTGCTCCTGCCCCTGCCCCCCGGTTGGAGGTGCCAGCTTTCTGTCACATACCTCCTTGGGGGCAGCCACTGGATGGGAAGAAGGTTTCTGATGTTCACTGGGACCAGGGGCGGGGCTGGCAGCTTCCTCAGCCAGTGCGTTGTAACAAAGGAAGAGATCCTCGTAATCCACGTTTGCTGGATCCTTCTGCGGACAGAGGGGATCTGCAGCTCAGCCCCAAGGCGGGGGACAGGGACAGGGCTGGGGTCCCCAGACCCTGGGAGTTGGAGCTTAGGAGCTGCTCCCACCCACAAACCTGTAATAAAGCAAGCTCCTCTGAGCGCATTGTGGGCCTAGGCCAGTGATGGCGAACCTATGACAGGCGTGTCAGAGGTGACATGCGAACTCATTGTTTTGGTTGATTTTTCTTTGTTAAATGGCATTTAAATATATAAAATAAATATAAAAAATATAAGTCTTTGTTTTACTATGGTTGCAAATATCAAAAAAATTCTATATGTGACACGGCACCAGAGTTAAGGTTTTTCAAAATGCTGACACGCCGAGCTCAAAAGGTTCGCCATCACTGGCCTAGGCCCTGCCCATAAACCGTTATAAGGAGGTCTGCCCTGCCCACAGCAGCTTCTGAGGGCACAGGCCCGTCCACTGGGGCTTATGCTAGTCCTATAGATCAGCTAGGGCAGTGGTCGGCAAACTGTGGCTCGCGAGCCACATGCGGCTCTTTGGCCCCTTGAGTGTGGCCACGAAGTTTCAATCGCACTGTACATGCGCGCCCGCACATGGTATTTTGTGGAAGAGCCACACTCAAGGGGCCGTAGTTTGCCGACCACTGAGCTAGGGTTATACCTCGCACATGTGAAACCTTATAAAAACATCAGCCTGAGGGGAAACGAGGACCAGGAGGAGTGGGGCCGTGGGGGGCCAGACGCAGAATCACAAGAGGCTGAAGGGGGCTGGGGGGAGCTGGAGG